GTCCTCCTCCCCCTCCTCCTCCTCCTCCTCTCTTCCCCTCCTCCTCCTCCTCCTCCTCCTCTCCTCCTCCTCCTCCTCCCTCTTCCTCCTCCACTATCCCGTCCTCCTCCTCCTCCCCTCCTCCTCCTCCACCACCTCCTCCTCCCCCGCCCCCCCTTCCTCCACCTCCTACCCCTCCTCTTCCTCATCCTTGTTATGTTCCGCAGTGCCAGCTGGGGCTAGCCCAGCAGAAAAACTACGACGGGGGGGCCCTGGAGACACACAAACCATCGAAACGCGATTCCGACACGCCCCCCCCAAATCCATGAAAAAAAGTGATGGGGCATACCGAAAGCAAGGGGGCGACCGTCGGGATCGACATCGGAATTCCGTAGAAATCATACAGCGCCCATGTCGAGCGCACACGCCGTGCCAAAAAAAACATACACACCTAAATCGAATGGTCCGCACGCGTACCCAGAGCCAAAAATCCTCTCCTCCTCCTCCTCCTCTCCTCGCCCACATCCATTCCCTCCCTCCCCGTCCGCCTCCGCCACCCAACCCCGCTGAGAGAGTCGAGCGGGGTTCCTGGCGGGCCCGAGGGTGATCCTGGAGCGGCCCCGACAGGGCCTAGATAGCTCCGAGCGGCCCTCACGAGGGCCTCCCGAACACTTCAGCGTCAAATGCTGCCACCAGGGATGCGTCGGACATAGTGGGCGAATGCCTCTATGAGCCCGCGTGGAGCCCCTCGAATTGTTCAAATCTTCACGCGGCAGACGCGGGGCAATCCCTGCGCCTTCTCAGGGCCCCGCGCGGGCTCATAGAGGCATCCGCCCACTATTTCCGACGCGCCCCTGGTTGCGGCATGTGACGTTTCAGCGGTCGCCACACCCCGCTCGCGCTCACTCCTCATCACCTCCCCTTCCGTCCGCCCCCCGCCCACCTCCCAACTTCCCGCCCCTGGGCGCGGGTCCTGAGTCGCAGACGCCCGCGGTCTCGAGGTTATCGGCCCCCACCCCCGCCGCCCCGAGGCTCGGCGACGGGGGGAGGCGGGGGGGGGGGAAGGAGGCGGAGGACGTAGCTATGGAGAGAAGGGAGACGAGCAATTAGGACAGGGAGGGGACGGAGAAGGAGAGGGGGAAGGCGGAGGAGGAGGAGCAGGATATGTGGCCTGGGGGCGGAGACGTTAAGGGAGGAGGGGGCTGCATTCACTTGCAATGCGATCCATGATACACGACGCAATTCATGGTTCGAGATGGCGGCACGCACCTCCCACCGTGCTGCAGCTGCTGGCAGGCGCCACGGGCACCTTTCTCAGGCGAAACGCCTACCAAGGCCCATGAGGGCCGCTGACGGCCGCCCCGACGCTCTTATCGAGGACGGCTGGCGCTGCGGGCATGGCGCGTCAGCGCCTGCCCGAAACTGCGAGCCGCATCCCAGAGGCGAACGGAGACACCGCACTCTCGACCGACTGCGCCATCCTGGCCTCGCAAAGGCAGCGATCTTCCCTCCCTCGGTGCTGACACACACACACACATCTCTAACTCCACATGTCCCTTGCTCTGGTCCCCTCCCAACCCGCTCTGGCCGAGTGCCCTACGCAGCGTCTCGCAGCCTCGAGGGTCCAACCATCACTTGAAAAACAATGCATCGTACGTTTTGTTGGCCAGCACCTTCGGCGATATCTCCTCGATCATGAGCTGGTGCTTGGATAATTCCTGCTGGGCGGCCAGCGCCGATTTGCGCAAGGCAACTTTGTCAACCTGCTCGGAAAACGATTTCAACATCAGCGCCGCCGCCCAGACCAGAATGCACTTGCACATGGTGAGTGAGCCGTCCTCAAGGACGGTCTCGTCGAAGGAGGCCAGCTGGTACGTCTTGGCCCACGCGCGGATGCCGATCTCTTCCTGCGGAAAGCCCGCGCGAGGGATGACGCAGTGGGAGGGCAGAGCACGGAGGCAGGGAGGGCTTGGAGGCGAGAGGAGTAGGCAGGAGGCGGAAACAGGGGTGATAGGGGGAGCGAGCGGGAGGACGAGGGGGAGGAGTGGGGGGGGGCACCAGTATGCCCCACTCCCCCATCGACCCCCCCAACCCCCACCACTCTTGCCCCAAGGGAGCAGGCGGTTGGACGCCCGCCGCAGTCCTCCTTGGCGGCGGCGACCTGCTTGCGGAGGCCCACGGCAACGCCCTCCGCCAGCAAGGTGGACTTGCCGACGGCGCGCACCTTGTCCCACTTGTCGGCAGCGGCGCCGACCAGCCCGTGGGTCCACTCGGCGCCGTTCTTGAGGCCGCCCTGCTCTTGCTTCAGATCCACCACCGTCGTGTAGACGAACTTGCGGATCTTCTCGCGAAGCCCGTGCTCGGCCACCTCGTCGATCGGGGAGCGCACCGTGTCATAGAATGCCATCGCCCCCTGCTTGATGAACGCCGTGTCCTCGTGTTCGGGGAACTTCTCATCCGAGAGCTTCTCGAACAGCACGGTGGCGGACCCCTTTCATCTTAGATAAGTTCGCGTCCTGATACGCGGAGCCGAGGTCCAAGCTGTCATCCTTGAAGTGCTTCGCCTTGAAGCGCTGCGGCGCCGGCACGCAGTTCGCCACCCGTACCCTGTCGGATGCTGGCTCGCAGAAGCCGAAATGCTTGTAGAAGAGCCAGCTGGGAGCGAAGCAGGGGCCGACTGGAAACACCACGACCTGCTTGCGCAGCCTTGACGTCCGCCAGCGAGCGAATCAACGCTGCCGAAAAAATCGCACAATATCTCTGTCGCGCGGAACCTGGATCCATCAAAACCCGGGACTGCGCGCATGCCCGGCAGCAGCGCGTCGACGTCCAAATCGCGCAGGAAGGCTTCGGCGATCTGGAGAGCCCGCGCGTTCAGGTTTTCCAAATCCGCATACAACTCTCAGAGCCCCTCAGCACCCCGCGTGCGCACGGGGTTGACGAACGCCCCGAGGACGCCCCGGTCGGCGTTCCAGGCGAAGGCGTCCAGCTCTCCGAAGTTAGCGAGATCTCGGCCCTTGCCCAAGCGCGTGTAAGGCAACGTCATATCATGGAGGGCCACGCGAACAGGCGTCCATACTGAGAGAGAAAAAGAAAAATCAAACAAAAAAGAGAGACGGAGAGAGAGCCAATGTGCTGAGAGAAGTGTTTGGCAATGTTGAGCATGTACTGCCAGGCGAAAGTGCGATCATCAGACTCTGCTGCACGTTGGCAGAGCAATTGCAATATGACTCTAGGTTGAGGGGATCTGAATGCGAGCGGATCGCAACTGTGAGGAACGATTGGGAATTAGGTCCTCAGTGCCTGAGTGCCGATGCGACGACCTGTCTTTTAACTTCCGACGCCATCCGTGCGCAGAGCTTCGGTAATACTTGTGCAGTGCAGGCCTACAGGCGAGAGATCCCGAGCGAAACGCCTGACGCCCGACCATCACGCGTATTAAGCGATTGCAGTGTGGCGTACATATAGAGAAAGGGAGGGGCGAATGTGATGTAGGGACGGGGGCGAGGGAGGGAGGAGGGACAAGGGGAGGGAGGGAGGGAGGAGGGAGGGACCTAGGAAGGGGGCTGAGGAAGGCGGGAAGGAGCGAGGAAAGAGAGGTTGGTTACTGCCCTGCGGCGCCGAGCGCGGCTGGCAACGACGTCATTGACACCCGATCTACACAGGCTGCCCTACGGGGTGGACGCCCTGAGTGGGAGCCGACTTGCGGCTCGCCACATATCTGGCGCCCTCATCCACCTCATCATCCTCCCCCTCCCCCTTTACCTCACAAACATTGACAGCATGACCACCGCCACCACCAGCACCACCAGCATCACAACCACCACCCTCATCAACACCATCAACATCACCACCACCACCACAATCACCATCACCACCATCACCACCTCCACCACCACCACCACCATCAGCATCAACATCAGCAGCAGCAGCATCATCCTCACAGTCATCATCATCATCATCATCATCATCATCATCATCAGCATCATCATCATCATCATCATCATCATCATCATCATCATCATCATCATCATCACCTCCAACATCACCATCACCATCAGCACCACCATCACTATCACCATCACAATCACCATTACCATCATCACCATCAGCATGATAATCCTCATCAGCATCATCAATATCATCGTCGTCATCATCATCATCAGCAGCATCAGCACAAGCATCATCATCAGCATCGTCAGCAGCATCAGTATCAGCATCACCAGCATCATCATGATCATAATCATCATCATCATCATCATCATCATCATCATCATCATCATCATCATCATCATAATCATGATCATCATCATCATAATCATCGTCCTAATCAGCATCATCATCATCGTCATCATCACCATTGTCATCAACATCATCGTCATAATCGTCAACAACATCATCCTCATCAGCATGATCAGCGTCATGACCATCAACATCAACATCATCATCTCCATCATCAGCATCATCATGCGCAGTATCATCCTCATCCTCATAATCATCATCAGCAGCAGCATCATCATCAGCATCATCATCCTCCCCATCAGCATCGCCATCATCATATCATCACCACCACCACCATCATCATCATCGTCATCATCATCAGCATCATCATCACTATCATCGTCATCCTTCTCATCATCATAATCATCATCAGCATCATCAGCAGCAGCATTATCAGCATCATCATCCTCATCATCACCATCATAATCATCATCCTCATCATCATAATAATAATCAGCATCATCATCATCATCATCATAGTCATCATCACCAGCATCCTCATGCTCATCCTCATCCTCATCCTCGTCCTCACATATCCTCATCCTCATCCTCATCATCAGCAGCAGCATCATCAGTATCTCTCATCTCTCCTCCCTCCACCTCATCGTCCCCTTCGTCCTCCTCCTCCTCGCGTTCCTCATCCACCTGCCATCGCCTCATCCCCTTCCTTATCCTGATTATCATCCTCATCCCCCTCATCCTCATCTTCTCTGTCCACGCTCCTCCCGGTCCGCCATCTCCCTCCTCGTCCCCATCGCACCCATCACGCTCAGACCATTTTCCAGCAATGTCATGTTGAACGTCCACCTCATCGTCTTTTCTACTCATCAATATCATCATCATCATCATCATCATCATCATCATCAGCAGCAGCAGCAGCAGCAGCAGTATCACCATCACCATCACCATCACCATCACCCACACCATCGCCATCATCAGCAACGTCATCTCCATCATCAGCATCATCATCAGTACCAGTATCATCATCATCATCATCATCATCATCATCTTCATCAGCATCATCATCATCATCATCATCATCATCATCATCATCATCATCATCATTATTACCAGCATCATCATCAGAATCATCAATATCATCATCATCATCATCATCATCATCATCATCATCATCCTCACCACCGCCATCATCATCAGCAGCAGTATCATCATCCTCATCACCAGCATCACCAGCATCACAGTCAACAGCACCAACAACAACAATAACAGCAGCAGCAACACCAACAACAATCATGTTAAGACTGTTCGCTCTTATCTGCTCGCGGGCCATTCAAGACGTATATCCCAAACTCTCGCCCGCCCTCTTCGTCTTCGATCGTATCCCCTTGAGGGTATACATATATATATATGTCTTACCTGCAACGTGTATTTCGTGCAGCCCCTAAGGGACAAGTGGGAGGGAGGAGGACGGAGCAAGGGATTAGCAGGAGGGGGGCCAGGAGCAGAACACACGTGGCAGAACCAGACGGGCGGGTAGACCCTAACGGGCGATTCGGGAAGGCGGGCCCAAGCGGCCAGGTCGAGTAGGCGGCTTTTAAGCGTGAGTGCTACATGAATCGCGAGGATGTCTCGAGCGATAGCGCAATTCCCAAATTAATCGTGAGGAACAATTTGTGAAAGTGTATCAGGCGGGAGCCGCTGCTGTTATAAACCGGGGGCCAAAGACACAATTCTGAGACTCAGACCTTTCCCTGATAAAAAAAGGCTGCGAGCCCCGGGAAGGGCACTTGAGTTGAAAAATAACATGTGTCCCGGAGGGGGGGGGTAGTCATCATCATCATCATCATCATCATCATCATCAGCAGCATCAGCATCAGCATCAGCATCATCATCATCAGCATCATCCTCAGTATCATCATCATCATCATCAGCAGCATCATCATCATATTCATCCTCCTCCTCCTCATCCTCCTCATCATCACCACCACCACCACTATCATCATCATCATAATCATCATCATAAACATCAACAACAACAACAACAACAACAACAACAACGCGACCATCACCAGCACCAGCACCATCACAATCATCTTCAGCAGCTGCAGCAGCATCGTCGTAATCATCATCATTATCGTCGTCGTTTGTCGTCGTCGTCGTCAACCATCACAACCACCACCGCCACCACCACCACTACCATCATCATCAGCATAATTATTACTATCATTATCATTAACATTAGCATCATCATCATCATCATGAGCAACATCAGCATCATCATCCTGTGCCCCCTCCCCATCCTCATCTTCTTCGTCGTCATTCTCATCACTATCCGCATCCTCCAACTAACGATCCTCTTCATCCTCCTCCCTCCCCCCCCCCTTCCCCCCTCACCGCCTTCCCCCCGTGGGCCAATACCACCACTCAATATCTCGTCACCCATTCCACGTCCATCATTTGTCCGCTCTCCTCCATTATCCCTCCTTATACGCCTCATTCTCCTCCTCCTCCTCGAGCTCCTCATCCTCCTATCATCATCATGTTCCCCCCCCACTGCTCATCAGCATTATCAACCCTCCCTCCATCCATACATCTCTCCCGCCTCCTGCACCAACTCTCATCCTCCACCTCATCATCCCATTCCTCATCATCACCATCACTCCTC